ACGACCTGCTGATGCTGATTGTCTTTCCTATTCTGTACTACTTGTTGTGCCACAGCCAGTGAGTGCACGACATGCTGGTAGACAGTTAGACATGTATTTTACAATGTTCTCACATATGGTGTTGATGGGGACATATCTCTCTCTCATTCCATGGCCTGCATGCATGTACACTAGAGGTTAACCAAACATGTATTTGCTTGCATAATATATGAGCAGTACTTCCACACCTGTGTCATCAGACCTCACAATGATGCGGGAATATGACTCTGCAAGATGTATGGCATGGAGCACCATCCTTGTGACTGTCTCCTCCTGATCACTGTACAGTGATGTCAAACTGCTGACTCCTGCTGTGCAGATGCTTTTCACCTCCTCCCCTTCGTCAAATCCTGAGTGTAGTCTCTGTGGGGCAGCAGTGACAATGTAGTTGCTCACAAACATGCAGAGTGCAGTCTTGTTTCCACTACTCCTCAAGTACTTCCTGTAGTTTGGGACATTTGTTTTGCTTTAGGTTATAACACTTGTGTTATTCTTCAGAGATGGGTCCTCATTACAGATCTGCACTTTTGCCTAAACGTTTATTTTTAGGCCTTTCTTAAAGGCGTCAGTGGTCTGTGGAGTCCTCAGGTGGTCTGGGAGGGAATTCCACAGGTGAGGAGCAGCTGCACAGAAAGCCCGATCCCCCATTGTGCGGAGTTTGGTCCTGGGGGGACGAAGCAAATGGTTTGTTGTGGAACGGAGGTTGCGTGTGGAGGTTTGTGATGTGAGAAGTTATTTTAGGTATGAAGGAGCGTTCCCGTGGATGCATTGATGGGTCAGTAAAAAGATTGATTATTGTATTATTGCCAACAATTAAATCAACATAATAATAATAATAAGGACTGCTGTTAACAATGGTTATATGATTTTGGGGAGGCCAGGACTGTATGATAATATGTTCTATATTATTTGTAGTTCTTTTGTCCAGCTTCAATTTGATTCATAACTCGATTATGTGCTTTTTATAGTTTTTTTCATTTGTTTCATTTGATTTTACAACATATAGAATATAGTCTAAACCCCATAAATGAATCTGGAAAAGCTGCAGATAGAGCCATAAGAAAGGAATGCAAATGATTTAATGTGTAATGTTTTTATAGGCAACAATTTAAGCTTTGTTAGTTCCAGGTTTAATATGTACAATACGTTCATTTCAATACGTTTTGCAATAAACATTGAAGCAGTCCGGCCCTCGACTAGTACCCATTTTTTTTATTTTGGCACACTGTGTATTTGAGTTAAGAATATAGTCTAAACCGTTTGGGTATGCACTTTTTTTATAAGAATATTGTTCATATGTATGTTCATTGTATCTAGATTCTGTGATTTGTATACAAAATAAACACAATTCAAGTCTGATCCAGTGATTTTATTTTAAAAAAAAGAGGCATGATACAAAATAGATCAGGTTTAACTGCAGTAATATTAGTGGTCCCCCATGTTGAAATAGTCCATCAATGCGGATCTAACATCAGCTCCTTCTTGTCTTCTTGTCTATCTGTTAAGGGGTGTAAAGGGGGTTGGTCGTACACAAGTTCATGGCAATCGTCAGTGAAGTTGTCGCTATGTTCCTCACATATGTTGTGTAGTACACAGCAAGTCACTGTCATTATTTTGGTGAGCTCCAGCTCGCAGTCGTTCCTTTTTAGGAGGCACCTTCATCTTCCTTTTAGCCTTCCAAACGCCATCTCAACAACCGACCGTGCACTGCTCAGCCTGTAATTGTAGGTGTGCTGTTCATTGGTCAGTCTCCCTGTGTCCGAAAATGGTTTCATTAGCCATCTTTGCATTGGATAGGCTGGGTCACCAATCAGGTAATGTCCCACATCACAGCCAGAGATGGTCATTTTGTTTTGGCCTAGCAACACTCCATCACTGATAGCCACCCAAAGATTGGATTGTTTTAGCACTCTAGCATCATGTACACTACCTGCGTCGCCAACACACACATCCCAGAACATCCCCCTGCCATCAACAACAGCCTGTAGAACAACAGAATGCCATCATTTTATGTTATAAAAGTCCTTGGGATAATCTCGGGGTGCTAAAATAGGGATGTGGCTTCCATCTATTGCACCAACACACTGTGGTGCTCTCCAACGTCTGTTGAAAAAAGTGGCCATTTCCACCAACTTCTCCACATCAGGAAATGTGATATGTAGTGGAAGCAGCACTTCCATGGTTGCCCTGCAGAAATCCTGAACACAGAGGCAAACGGCCCTTAGGCCTACCCCGAAAAGGGGTAGGCCGATGATGGTCCTGTATTCACCTCCAGTGGCCAGCTTCCAGAGGGCAATTCCAACCCGTTTTTTATTGGGTATACACAGACGGTAATTTGTGTCTCTTCTCCCCATAACGCCGCTGACCTGGTTGCAGATGTAGTCAAAGGACTGCCTGGCCTGGATTGCAGAGGGGAGAAGTCTGGAACAATGGTGTTCCACCAGTCGGAAGATCTGGGCTGTGTCCAAATAACACGCGACCTCCGCCTTTCCGCCAGCTTCAACATGATCTGTGGAAATAACATTGAGAATTAGTTTTAATGTTATACCATAGTAATTAATTTAGCAAAGCTGGGTATTTTGAGCTTGGCGCATGCAGAGGCTAACAACAGCTAGCTCTAACATCGAATAGGACGTATATTTACCTTCTTTCTCCTACGGAATCGGAATCGTCGTTGAAGTTGATGATTACGATTGTAAAGCAGTTTTGAATGTAGCATGTAACGACTGTAAAGTTGGTAGTAAAGTCGTCCCATTACTTCCATTCAACACAATCTGCCATTGTTGTTGTTGTTGTCGCTGTGAGGGGTTTCCGCGCGGTTTAGCTTTATGAAGCAGGAACGCAAACGGTTACGTCATGACGCAAACGATGACGCAATGACGCAGCACCAGTCGGACACTGGACGGTGTGAAAAGAGCTGGAGCTAAACCGAAGAACCGGTTCTGAACCTGAAAAGCTCTAGCACGGAGCTTGAACCGGAGTTGTGTTGGTGTGAATGAACGCTCGCTCGCTCACTCGTGCGCTCACTCGTGCGCTCGTGCCACACACACAGAGCCGAGCTTGAATGAAACACCCAGAAGTAGGCTACTTGTACTGTACTGTAGCATATCATTTTCGAATCAATCATTTTTCAAATTATGAATTTCACATTAAAAAAAAAAACCATACATTTCTTGGGGTTGCTTAGCCGTTGCTAGGCCCATTGTTGGTGCTGCTGTAGCAACTGCAATCTACCGCCTGGCGCCGCCCCTAGATAGATAGATAGATAGATAGATAGATAGATAGATAGACAGATAGATAGATAGACAGACAGATAGATAGATAGACAGATAGACAGATAGATAGATAGACAGATAGATAGATAGATAGATAGATAGATAGATAGATAGATAGATAGATAGATAGATAGATAGATAGATAGATAGATAGATAGATAGATAGATAGATAGATAGATATACAGACAGATAGATAGACAGACAGATAGATAGACAGACAGATAGATAGATAGATAGATAGATAGATAGATAGATAGATAGATAGATAGACAGATAGATAGATAGACAGACAGACAGATAGATAGACAGACAGATAGATAGACAGACAGACAGACAGATAGATAGATAGATAGATAGATAGATAGATAGATAGATAGATAGATAGATAGATAGATAGATAGATAGATAGATAGATAGATAGATAGATAGATAGACAGACAGACAGACAGACAGATAGATAGACAGACAGACAGACAGACAGATAGATAGATAGATAGATAGATAGATAGACAGACAGAGACAGACGGACGGACGGATAGATAGACAGACAGAGACAGACAGACAGACAGAGAGACAGACAGATGGATAGATAGATAGACCGATGGATAGATAGATAGATCGATAGACAGATGGATAGATGGATAGATAGATAGATCGATAGATAGATACTTCATTCATCCCAAATTGTGAAATGTGTGGAAACAAGTATAAACATAATAGCATTAAATACAAATAAAAGCAATAGACAGGAATATATGCATATACCGTAGAAAGGACACAACGATGAATATTATAAAATGTAATGTAGCCTTACTATGAAGGCTAACCTAAATATGGTGCTTTTCTACAGATGACCTCACCACTGCACTGGTAAGGTAAAACTAGGCCAATTAATAAGATGTGAAGTGCTTTGTAACTTTGACCCACTTGACTGAATACACAAAAAACAATGAAGAAAGAGTTATCTCTGGGCTGCTTCGCTGCCAGCTGCTCCCCCGGGACCCGAAAGTGGCGTATAGCCACTACTTCAACATCAATGCAAACGAATGTGCTCGATATATGCTGTATTGAACCAATCAACTAACACAAACTAACTGTATCACAATATCATGATGATGATGGTGATAAAGAATGCATCTAACGTTCCGCTGTTCATTATAATAAAAACATATCATGCTATTACTTTGAAAACCATGCGGGAATGTCGTCATCAGCAGGCCATCACGTGTTTTCCGAAGATAACCGAGTGACACGAGTACATTTGAGCCGAGACCGGCGGAAAGTTTGTCTCAAAACTCTGTGTGTGTAAAAAGACGATCCACAAGCAGAGATTTGAGATCCACAAGCGCATTTTTGGTCGACAAATACAAAATGGATTCACAAATGCCTGATCGAAAGTTGTAAATGTTAAAGAGATATTCAAAGATCTTTTTTTTATTTGTAAAAATATTTAGCCTATTTGTAGATCCGTTTTACATTTGCAAATATATGTGTGAGTTTGCAAATCTTTTAAATGCATCTGTGGATGCTGTCTTACATTTACAAATCACATATTTACACACAAATTATTTGTATGTTCACACAAATAATTATGAGACATATCTAAGCCCATACTATAGCCACAGTTCACCAAGGCTTATGGTGTTGTATGCCCATGTTCATTTCTCGTGTGTGTGTTCCCACAGTTGACAGGTTAAGTGAGCTCCTCCTTGGTTCCAGTGTTGACATCCCTCTACCCGGCCATCACAGCCACATGGAGGGGGGGGACACCAGTGAGTCAGACAATCATTCATCATTATTCATCACAAGTATAAGAATTAACCGCCACCTATAAATAACTTACAAGCGGGGATAATATACAGGGATTCAGCCGAGTCCTGATCACCCTGTCGGGGTTCCTGTCACTATAATGACCAGCTCGCTGTACCTTATCCCGCTTATAACGCGACTACTTACTACACAAGTAGGGGTATAACGGTTCACAGAAGTCACGGTTCGGTTCATACCTCGGTTTGGGGGTCACGGTTCGGTACGGGTTCGGTACAACAAGGAAAAGCTAAAAAAAATCCCAAATGCATAATTGTTTTTGCTGTTATTTATTTTTAACAGTAGTGCAAGTTTTGGTATGAGAATAAGGAACTCTAACATTTGGAATCATTAACTGTATTACACAGTTAAAAACAAACCACAAACAGTAACACTCAGATGGCCATATTATTTATATTGGCTGATGTCAAACAAAAAGGTTAAATAAGCTGTACAACTAAAAAGAATGTCTTGAACATATTAAAATAAATAATAAGAAAATAAAATCTGTACCTTTAGGAGCAATGGGCCATTATGCCTAAATAAAGGTACTCAAGCTTTACTCTATTTTCAAGTTGTTCTTCAGAAAGATGAGTTTGTCTACGTTGTCAGTAGTGAGGGCAGATCTGTTGGCGGTAACTATGTCACCTGCCGTCGTGAAAACCCTCTTGCTGGGGACTGAGACTGACTCGGATGTGAATGAGCATGTTTGACGTGTTACCACTAGCATACCGCACCGCTGTCGAACAACGCCGACACACCGTCCTCGTCCGATCCACAACTCGCACCCCATCATTGTTGTAGTCCACAGGGAACCCGAAATGTTCCCACACACCTGATTTAAAAGAAGCAGGTGGGTCTTCTAGCTCCTGTGTGTTGTGTGAACTCGCCATATTAGCTACTAAATGTTCTTCTTTATATTGTGTTCGTTTTGTTGTGTTTTGTTCTTGTTCTTCATTTGTTATTTACGGGCGGCTGGCTTTTAGGCGCAATAAAACCCCATGATTATATATAGTGTAATACTGCCCTGAGTGACAGACTTTTTTCCCACTCGTAAAAAAAGTCGTATTCGCCGTGTGACTGCATGTGCCGAACCGTGACGTCCGAACCGTGACGTCCGAACCGCGACGGTACGGGACGAATACGGATACCGTTACACCCCTATACACAAGTCAATAAATCAACACCAATTATTGATTTAAACACGATTTTCGCAGAGCCCATACCATGTTCAATTTAGTGTTTACTTCCTGTCAGAAAATGACACTTTTAAGAAGGTAGCTAACACTGCTGTACTCGTTGATCAGGTGCTCAGGATCTGTTGGTCAATGGAGACCATGATGGCTTCACAGCAAAGGTGAGTTGTGGGCCAAGATTGAGGTAAAGTTTGGTGTGTGTGTGTGTGTGTGTTTAATACATCATTAATGAATATACTGCTTGTTTTTACAGAAGATCTACCAGAGGCTGGTGAATCTGAGTGTTTATCTCCATGCAGTCCAGGTGAGTGTTTCTGTGCAGCTCTACCATGAGTCACATGCACCAGGACTTTATATAGCTCACTATAGACGGAGCTACAGGCACAGCCAGTAGCGTAGGCAGACATGTACTTTAGGGTGGGCCTGTAAAAAATAGGGTGGGCCAGATTTCAGAACAACAATCCCCGCCGGTACCGGTGGCAGATTACTTTTAGAATACTTTCTTTTTCCATAACAGATGGGTATGTTTTGCTTAACAGGAGACACGTATTTTACTGTTTTAATGACTTATCAAGAGCACAAACACAACATCTTGGTGTCATTCTGGACAGCTCTCTCATCTGCACCACACATAAAAAACATCACCCGGACTGCATTCTTTGTACTGTCTTAAAACCTTTCCTTAGAATATGTTATGAATTGTAAGGTGTCCTTGGGTGCTTTGAAAGGCGCCCCTAAATAGAATGAATTATCATTATTATTTATTATTATTATCTGAAACGATGTAATAACTTTTAAAACTGTTTCAGTCACTTGCCCCATGCATTCAGCAGCAGCAGGCCATTCACTTTGATTTGATCCCGTTATAAATGTCATCATCTCGACAATAAAGAAATGCTACATAAACGTTATCTTGCACATTTTATCTAACCATCTCCGTTTCTAACTTTCAATATATTTAAAAAGAGATCTCTCTCTCATCTGCGTGCGGGGGCGGGGCCTCACAGACACGCTGCATCTCTCTCTCTCACATACATGCTGCAGCGCTGTGCAGTGTGCACACAGTTCTGCCGGTAATGAATATTACATTTTGTGAGGAAACTTTTCCACCAATAATTCCAATAAGTATTCCAAAATGTATTCACTTCAGGTTTACGAAAGTAACTGTAATCAGATTACTCGTTTTTCAAATGTAACGCCAGCTGAATACACTTGATTTTTGTATTCTGATTACGTAACGCCGTTACATGTACTCCGTTACAACCCAACCCTGTGTATATCTCTCCGGACTGTCCACCAGCAGATGAAAAACACCCACCTCTCCGCCTCTTCCAAGGGACGAGGGAACCGTGCGGAGGGGTTTCCGTTAACATTTATTTTCTTCTGACAGCCCAGCAGCAGGAGAGGTGGGGAGAGGGAGAGGTGGGGAGAGGGAGGCGTGGGGAGAGGGAGAGGTGGGGAGAGGGAGGCGTGGGGAGAGGGAGACGTGGGGAGAGGGAGGCGGGGCTATTTCATCGTTATCAGAAAATGATCGTATAGATCGCTGCTAGATGAGGGCAGTGGGGGCTCTTCTTGGAGTCTGCCTTTTTTTTTTTTTTTTAAACCAAAGTTCATTAGTGAACTTTGAGCCATCATTTATTTTGCAAGCAGCTCTCTGCCTCTCTCACGTTATTATGGCGCGCGCCGGAACCAACAATCAGTTTTACCGTAAATGAGTTCGGTTCAGAGGACAAAGCACATACAACATTAATTAAACTCGATATTTGTTCACTTGAATTTCACTTTGAATGCTTGGATATTCTCAATGGGTGAATACTTTTTTTTATAATAATAATAAAATAATTAAAATAATAAAAACATTTTTTTTTTTTAAATGACACCGAAGCTTTCTCAGGGTGGGCCAATGAGTAAACTGGGTGGGCCTGGGCACGTTTAGGAGACTGTGATTGGTTGGTTGTAAGAGAGACGAGGCGCGTCACGTGTTAATGTATCATTGGAGCTCCAGTTGACTGCCTGAACTAGCTCGCAGGCTGCAACCCATTTGTGTACAGTCTTTTGTTAATATGATGAAGCACAGAGTGTCAAAGAAGTACACTATTTTCCTAACAGCTTTCACTTATTTTTAAAGCGTGTGTCTGTGGATGGTAATGAAGGAACATGTGCACTAGTGTGGCTCAAATTGGAGGTCCACTGCACAGAGGAAGAAGATCATCCGTCTGTGATACAAAACGTGTTAGCAGATATTCACTCTAGGTGCTCATGGCCTTTAAACATTGGGTGAGTTCATTCTTATTGATTGATTGATTGATTGATGGATGGATGGATGGATGGATGGATGGATGGATGGATGGATGGATGGATGGATGGATGGATGGATGGATGGATGGATGGATGGATGGATGGATGGATGGATGGATAGATGGATAGATGGATAGATGGATAGATAGATAGATAGATAGATAGATAGATAGATAGATAGATAGATAGATAGATAGATAGATAGATAGATAGATAGATAGATAGATAGATAGATAGATAGATAGATAGATAGATAGATAGATAGATAGACTAGGTTCCAGTCCTGCATTCTAACTCCTGGAGGGGTCTTTCTGCAGGACTGCAGCAGATTAGGCTGAGTGTGTTTGTTTAAATGGGCATTTCTGGTTGAACCGGGTTAAGGTGTGAGTTAAACTGTCAGGCCATCACACCAGGTGCATTGTCTGACAGGGGGTGTGGGAAACCCATCTAGTCTGGTATCCTGATGAAACAGCATTTGATTGAATGGGAACCCGGGAACCCGGCAGCAGTTTCAGATAAATTATATGTAATCAGTGACCCTAAAATATAAATATATATAAAAGTAATATAAACATAATGTACCTTAATATCAAATGCAATACAACAAATACCAGAGAAGATAAATATCAATACAATGTTTTTACTAACAGAACAATGTGACCTTAGAAAAGAAGAAACCAAGTATTTAGTATCACAAATGTGTCATATAAAAGTATAGGCTATACAGGCTACATAATAATTGTGTGTAATATATGAATTCAAAGCAAACACAGTATTTGTGTTCAATAAATCGGGTGTTAACCTACTGCATTTAACAAAGAAAGAAAGTAGCCTAAATGAAAACCAAAGCATAACATTTGTCTACCTACAATATATTGATCTTTATTTAAAATCCATTATACTGCAACTCATTTTGTAAAAATATACCAGTAAACTGATTACGTCTTTTTTACAATGCAACTGTAAGGAGTTATCTTTTTGGTATCCTGATTACATGATCCTGTTACATGTAATCTGTTACTCTCCAAGCCTCTCAATAATGGTGTGTCCTTCTGGGGACTGACCGTAACTCTCCAGCAACAGAGGTGGGAGAAGTACTCAGATCTTGTACTTCAGAAAAAGTAGAAGAAGAAGAAGATGGACCTTTATTAATCCCCAGAAGTATCAGAGTGTAGGAATACTCTGTCACAGTAAAAGTCCTGCATTCAAAATGTTCCTCAAGTAAAAGTAGAAAAGTATTCTCATCAAAATATAGTGAAAGTATCGACAGTAAAAGTAGTGATTGTGCAGATTGGTCCATTTCGGAATAATATATATGATATGTTTTATAATGATTGATCATGAAAGTGTTCTCAAAGCTGGTAAAGGTGCAGCTAGTTTGAATGACTTTGTATACTGCAGGGTAGCTTGTGGATTTACTCCAGGTGGAACTAAAGTCTGATTTAACACTTGATTAGATTTCACATCATTCATCCACATCTGTAAAGTAACTAAAGGGATTAAATACATGTAGTGGAGGAAAAGTACACACTTTACCTCTGAATTGGGGTAGAAGTAGCATCAAATGGAAGTACTACAGTAAAGTACAAGTATATAATAATGTTACAGTACAATACTTGAGTAAATGTACTTACACTGAACAAAAATATAAATGCAACACTTTTGTTTTTGCTCCCATTTTTCATGAGATGAACTCAAAGATCTAAAACATTTTCTATATACACAAAATAACCATTTCTCTCAAATATTGTTCACAAATCTGAAAAAAATCTGTGATAGTGAGCACTTCTCCTTTGCCGAGATAATCCATCCCACCTCACAGGTGTGGCATATCAAGATGCTGATTAGACAGCATAATTATTGCCTTAGGCTGGCCACAATAAAAGGCCACTCTGAAACGTGCAGTTTTGCTTTATTGGGGGGGTCCGAAAACCAGTCAGTATCTGGTGTGACCACCATTTGCCTCACGCAGTGCAACACATCTCCTTCGCATAGAGTTGATCAGGTTGTTGATTGTGGCCTGTGGAATGTTGGTCCACTCCTCTTCAATGGCTGAGCCAAGTTGCTGGATATTGGCAGGAACTGGAACACGCTGTCGTATACGCCGATCCAGAGCATCCCAAACATGCTCAATGGGTGACATGTCCGGTGAGTATGCTGGCCATGCAAGAACTGGGATGTTTTCAGCCTCCAGGAATTGTGTACAGATCCTTGCAACATGGGGCCGTGCATTATCATGCTGCAACATGAGGTGATGGTCGTGGATGAATGGCACAACAATGGGCCTCAGGATCTCGTCACGGTATCTCTGTGCATTCACAATGCCATCAATAAAATGCACCTGTGTTTGTCGTCCATAACATACGCCTGCCCATACGCCTGCCCATACCATAACCCCACCACCACCATGGGCCACTCGATTCACAACATTGACATCAGAAAACCGCTCACCCACACGACGCCACACACGCTGTCTGCCATCTGCCCTGAACAGTGAAAACCGGGATTCATCCGTGAAGAGAACACCTCTCCAACGTGCCAGACGCCATCGAATGTGAGCATTTGCCCACTCAAGTCGGTTACGACGACGAACCGGAGTCAGGTCGAGACCCCGATGAGGACGACGAGCATGCAGATGAGCTTCCCTGAGACGGTTTCTGACAGTTTGTGCAGAAATTCTTTGGTTATGCAAACCGTTTGTTGCAGCAGCTGTCCGAGTGGCTGGTCTCAGACGATCTTGGAGGTGAACATGCTGGATGTGGAGGTCCTGGGCTAGTGTGGTTACACGTGGTCTGTGGTTGTGAGGCCGGTTGGATGTACTGCCAAATTCTCTGAAACGCCTTTGGAGACGGCTTATGGTAGAGAAATGAACATTCAATTCACGGGCAACAGCTCTGGTGGACATTCCTGCTGTCAGCATGCCAATTGCACGCTCCCTCAAAACTTGCGACATCTGTGGCATTGTGCTGTGTGACAAAACTGAACATTTCAGAGTGGCCTTTTATTGTGGCCAGCCTAAGGCACACCTGTGCAATAATCATGCTGTCTAATCAGCATCTTGTGAGGTGGGATGGATTATCTCGGCAAAGGAGAAGTGCTCACTATCACAGATTTTTTTCAGATTTGTGAACAATATTTGAGAGAAATGGTTATTTTGTGTATATAGAAAATGTTTTAGATCTTTGAGTTCATCTCATGAAAAATGGGAGCAAAAACAAGTGTTGCATTTATATTTTTGTTCTGTGTAGTTACTTCCCACCTCTGTCCAACAGGCACACTTCTGATCAGCAGGTCCTGTTAAATGTTTGAAACTGGGTTCTCTCTCATGTCCTGCAGGGGGCGGTCATCAAACAGGACTCCATCTTGGAGCAGCTGCTGCAGCCCCAGGAATCCCCCCCCCCAGCAGCAGGTGGGGGGTGGCGCCCCCTCTGGAGGGACGGGGTGACCCGGGAGGCCGGCGCAGGCTCCAGCGTGGGGGAGCTGACCCTCCTGCAGAGGCAGCACAGCCTGCTGCAGGAGGAGCTGCTGAGGCTGCGGGACGCCGAGGGCCGCTTCAAGGAGAGCGAGAAGGCCCGGGCCCGGCTAGAGAGGCAGGTCCGGAACATGAAGGATTCTCAAGTGAGAACTCTTTTATTAAATTACATAAAGTTAGGGGAATCACAAGAGACAGACAAGTCCAAATCAAAGAGCAAATATCAGAATCAGGTACGTTTCACATATAAGTTATTTGCCCAGTAGGATTGGTTTATCACAACCAAATATAAAACTGAAATTAAAGCAAATGCAAGAAACTTGAAAATAATCCACAATCACCAAATAAAATACAAAACAAATATGAACAGTATAGGAGCAAGACAATTATGGGTTTATTATTTGATTATTTAATTATGTCTAAAAAATATAGAATATTGGTAATACTCAATATATAAGGTTGTTAATGTCTTTATTTGTTGAGACTCAGCTGATGGAGGCAGTGATTGTCTCAGCTGTATAAAAGAGTCCTGGGGAACATATCTGTGGTTCTTTGGTTTGAAGCCACATGTTTTTTGTAAAGTACATTTAAGTTTATTTAGTTTTCACTTCACTGTCTACCTGTGTCTGCGTCCTCTGGTAAGACCAATTAATTTGTCTGTAAAAAGAGGAGAAACTTATTTAAAGGAGTTTGAAGGAGAAAATATACAAAAATAAGAGAGGTTTGTGCAGGAAATGACCAGGGAATAAGTCAAAGTTCACAATATGAATTATCAAAAGATATTCCATGAACAAAGAAGCTAATCTACAAGATGTGTGTAGACTAGATAAGGCTATCACAATGATCCATTCACCTGCTTTCCTGCTGCTGTAGCCTGTATCTCTGCAGCCACACAGGGAGCCCCACCCCGGAGCCGAGACCCTCTGGATCAGTCGGGACCCTGCCAGCCAATCAGAGGGCCTGCAGGACGGCAGTGATGTTGAGGTGGACATGACGTCTGACGATGACGATGAGACGGTATCTGAGAGCTCCAAAGGTCAGCTGATGAACCCTTTTGGTATCACCGTGTTCTGTAGGTGGGGGGGGGGGGGGGGGGGACTTAAATGAACATACTGTTAATCAGTAAGTCAGTTACTGTACTCTGAGTACATTGCTACATTTTTAAGTTTAATTATCGAACACCTATGGGCTTCAAATGAAAGAGCATTCCCATAACAACATGAACACAATACACAAACCGGCAATACTGTTTGATATGGATGGAAATGTGTAGCTTGTTCAATAACTTCAATACTTCAATCAATGAGTTAAAAAAACCCGCCTTCTTCTGTTTAGCCCTCAAATAATTACCAGAAAAAAGGCCATACTCACACAATTAAACTAAAATCAAATAGCTTTTGACACCCCAGCAGGTGCATTGTTAGACTACATATATTTACTAATCTGTCATTTTACCAACAGAATACAAATCTCAAGGTAGCCAACAGAAAATATTGAAAGCTAATTGAAACGTGACTTCAGCTGCAGCCCCAACCATGCTATATTAAAACAAGAGACTGCACAGTTACACACAGCAGCTGTTGGCTGGGAGTAACAACAGTTAGTGTGTTTGTTTCCTTATTCAATATAGTATAGATTCAAGCGCTCCATGACAAATGATTTTGCCTTTAAGAAATACTTTGTTAAACATCTCTAACATCTCATGGCTGGAGGGAGCAGATATGTGTTACACTTTGTTAATGCTGAATAAATACTTTGTTAGTGGTGGGAAACCTCGGGCTGAATGTGGTGTGTTCTCTCGTCTTCAGACCTTCAGGACATTCCAGAGGAGATCTGATCCTCCAGAGGAGATCTGGTCCTCCAGAGGAGATCTGATCCTCCAGAGGAGATCTGGTCCTCCAGAGGAGATCTGGTCCTCCACAGAGCTAATGAGCCTTTATAGCTATATTTCATTATGATATTAACTGATTCCAACAATGTGCATGTCTAGATTTTCTGCACTGTTTATTTAGCTGCTTTGCTTTAAGTAGATGGCTTGTGACATTGAGCTGTTTGTTTCAGTATGATTTGGACTGTTGGTGATTTAAGTTCCTCACTTGAACAAAGGAAACATGAACATGAAGATGAGCAAAATCTTACGATTCCACAAAATCTATTAGTACCGATGGTCAGGGTTTCCATTATTTTCATCGTTTAAGCATTGAATCTGCAAATATTGTTATGTTGAGCAGAAAATAGAATATTGTATTTGGGCATCAGGTGGAGACATACACCCCTTCTCAGGTGGAGACAGGCACCCCTTCTCAGGTGGAGACAGGCACCCCTTCTCAGGTGGAGACAGGCACCCCTTCTCAGGTGGAGACATACACCCCTTCTCAGGTGGAGACAGGCACCCCTACTCAGGTGGAGACAGGCACCCCTTCAAATGATCAGTAGTGTTTCTCTGGGAAGGGTTCATGAACTATAATGTGGAACAACATGGATGTGCTGTAGAAGATGTGTTAGAATAGAATTTGAATATTGTTTCCAATATTTGCTTGACACCAAAGAGCAAAAAGCTCCCATAGACCATAGTTCAGGGACATCTCTCTAACATGGAACTTAGCCTTCCTATTGGTACATTTTGTATTGATGTAGAAGTATCCATGATGCACTGAAGACAAGTTTTACGGAGTGGCCTACTTCTATCTACTATAACTGTGTCACAGAGAAACTGGCAACAGATTTAGCAAAATTTTACAACGCGAAAGGTTTGATACATTTATCAAATCAAATGAACCGATACTTTCAAAAGACTCTGTGTGCACAAATGAATATTTACCAAAGACTGATACTTCCAGCTGTGATTGGTTTGTCCTTATCACATCACACTCACGGTGGCCCACAGGTGCAGACACAATACAGCGCGCGCTGCACTTTTAGAAATGATACAGATATAACTACACAAATGTGCCAAAACACATGAAGAAACAGCTGCTTCATAACTGTATCTTTAGTATGTTTAATATGACTAGGTTCACTAGGTTAGCTTGCTTATAGCAGATCAGCAATAATATCTAAATGTTTTCTAAATGCTGCATGTGTTTTAGAGTTGGTGAAGATGTTTCTTCATCTGCATGTGTTTTGGCACATTTGTGTTTTTGCATCATTTCTGAAGCCTAGGGAAGTGTTTTGTATTCTTGCTACACTGACAACAGTTTTTTAGGGCGCCAAACATTCACAATGTGTACAGCCCCCAAATTCACATTAAAATATAACAACACAGGGATTGCTTTGAAGTGTTTCAAGTGACTGACTAAAGGACACTGGCAGGCTAAGTTACAAAATGTAATTCCTGATTTGAACCCAAGTTATAAATCAGTAAAGATTCATAGGTATTTTTATAGTTGAGGTATATACTGTAAGAAGACATCATTGCCTGATACCAGACACAGCGGCATCTCATGTGAAAGTCCCACTTTTTTCGGTGCCATCAGCTCAACCGACTTCCACCCAGCAGCAGCCAGCAGTGCCCCGGACTGAAAGAGTGTGTGTCAGAGCTCATTGATGAGGACATCCTGTGGCTCTCACAAGAAACTCTCCTCTGTTGATTTAGGTCCAGTAAACATTCAGCAACACAAGTATATTATGTTTATATAATGTGTTATAAAGAAGACTACTAGGGCGTTCCAGTAGCAGAAACACATCACAAGGCCTCTGGAGGAACGGAGGGTTCTCTGAAGCAACAGACTCATCAGTTTCAGTTTGGAGTGATAGTTCTTCATGTTTTAAGCTACAGTCTCTCTTTTGTAACAACTGCAATAGAAAAAAGCTGTGAGCTTCATGCTGTTTGCATCCTTCAACATTTTGATATGTCTGGCTGATGTTTTGGTTTGACCAAGAACGACTGACACTTGTCTGGCGGATGAATGTGATGGCGTATTCAGGATATTGCTTTTTATTGTTCTTAAATGTAAATAGAGCTTGATTTTTTTGGCTGTTTTTTGGCTGCAAAATGATTGTGAACTTTGAATACGTATTCTCATATTACAATGCTGTACGTCTACGTTCTGCTGAATCTCAGTGACATCTCTCAGCCAAAGGGACAGGGTTGATTTTCTGATAGCAAATATTGTTAAAAACCAACCTATTAATAGTATTATACTGTATATTAAGCAGAAGCTTTACTCGTCAGTAAACAGTGTAAGGCCTCACATTATAAAAGGGCTGTCCTTACTTTTGCACTCCTGTCTGTCATTCATGTGAATTGTATAACTATATGAAAAATAAAAAAGTCGTATTATCAAAAAAAATTGTGTTACATTTAACAAAACATATTTCCCAGTTGGAGACAAGTGGAAGAAGATTGATGAAAAATGTCAAAGATGTGTTCATTGACTTCATTAAGAAACAGCATTATCTGTTCATACACATCACAGACTTTATTCATTTCAATAATGTTGGTTGAAGGGGAGATATTATGTTCATACTTCTTAAGCTAAATGCTGCAGGTCTTCAAAGTTTTTAAGGCCAAGGACCCCTTAGCTGAGGAGAGATGTGGCAGGGTCCCCTTATTGTGAAAAGGACTTGCATATTAAATGGCGTTAGAATAAAGTTTAGGGTTGTCTCACATTCCATATAAAGCCTTTTTAAATGTATTCAATATTAAGCTATTAAATGATCAATTCATAGCTAACAACTAGTTTGTTGTAATGGATAGAGGGCAGCACAGTGACAGTTTCTTTACTCAGGAGAACCCGCTCAGGTGCGTTACACTTTTTTGGGGGGGTGCAGGGGTAAAGTGCTATTTTTTCTAAGTGGGGGGTGGACCGAACATCCTTAAGGGGGTCGTCACCTCCTCTCGAGGGGTCCGGGGGCATGCTCCCCCGGGCAGATTTTTTTTAAAATATTGAAGTGAAAAGCATCAATCTGGTGCACTTTGAGAGCAACATTAACCCTACCTTAATAATACCTTAAAGCGGACAAAAGGCACTGGAGAACACTTATTCATTAACTTCCTTTAATGAAGCAAACTAATGCCTTAACTCACTCAAATACAGTCCTTTACTTATTTCGGTGAAATGAATGTGCGTAGAGTTTTAAAGGATGCGGATAGTCTCACCTTGATTCTGGCGTAAAGAGTGTAAGAGTCACATTTCTGAATCGGACACTCTGAGTGGATGCAGTCACAGCCAATCGGAGTCTGATTCAGAGGGTTGCCTGTCAGTTCCGTTGCCTGTCAGTTCCGTTGCTATGGTTCCGTTGTTATGTGTACTGAAACGAGAGCCGGTATAATTCCACACGCGAAAACTAAATAAAAATTGGAATACGTCATTTTAGTGTCTTAAAAGTAGTCTGAGGTATGAAGGGTTAACGTTACATCTTAGAATCATTTGTAGTCATGTTCTGTATACATACTAACATATAAGGGTATACTTAGTGTGGTTACTCCATGTTTACTAGCTATAACATTAACGTTACATCACTCTTTTTCACTTCTTACTCAGTCAGCCAGAGTGCAGATATCACCATTAGATTCACAAACCTGAAACATCATCCATTTCTTCACTGCTGGTGATGACATTGTTGTCAGCTGCTGATACTGCTGCTGCTGCAGCTTGTGGCGCCTGCTTCGATGACAATAACGTTCTAATATCCATAACTGTATAGGCTATTACAGTGGTTCTCAAATGGGGGTACGCGGACCCCTAGGGGTACGTTGGAGTACTGCAGGGGGTACGTGAGATTTCCTGTTTTTCAGGTCTCAGGCTCGAAAATGACATTCCCAGAACAAATGACCATATCTTCCCTTCTAAAAGGGTTAAATTAATATTATTTTTTCTCAAAGTAATGATAAACCTGTGAGTTGGATGTAGAAAAGTCAGAATCAATATAGATGTTTTTTATTTTAAAGAAAATTCAGATTGAACATAGTAAAAAACTGTAAATTATAGTGTCCGTCCAAAAATGATTTTGTACTTATAGTGAAAACTACCCTTGGATAGGTAAGGTAGACTAAAAGCTTTAGGAATCCAAAGTACAACATATAATAAGTACCCTGTATCAAGATTGATGCAAAACAAGTGACATGTGACCTTTTTAGAGAGGTTTAGCAAAAAAAACTCCACCTCTGAGGTGATTTGGGTGGAAATGGGGGTTTTACCGTTTCTCTGGAACCCATTGGTCGATTTTGGTGATTGACATCTTTCTGACCGTTAGAGCCAATAGAATCGAAGGGGAATCTCCCCACACACACACATGGTGAAACAAAAAGGTGGGGGCTTCGCGTGCCCAGTTTTGCTACAGAGTGAAGCTGTCTCTAGGTCTGACATCTCAAAACTGAAAAGCAGATTTATTGCTTATGGATTATCAGAAATCATTTCAAAGGGACACAGACACATTGGATTAACCTATGGATTAACTTCAGTAGCGTTTGTATCGTATTAATGCCATTGAAGACCACTTTTGACCAGACTATAACAGAGGTGAGCCATGTTAGCGTTTCTAGCTACCTAGCTCCATATGTTTTGATGTGTGTTCTTGTTATTATCTCCGAGAGTTCGTATAATTGAGTGATAATGAGGGTACCCCTCGATTCTGTGTCACCTCACGATGTGAAACGATGGGTTGGATGTGCAGCAAAGATAAATAATAAGGTTTTGTGAGTGAATTTCGGTGCAGTCATCTGTTAGCATTTTTCGCTCGTTGCTAATTCAGAGGCTCAGCGTTAGCATTGTTGGGTTTTTTTTAATTTATTTTTTGAAATGATCAGTTAGATGAGTTTCTTTCCGTTACATGGATATAAAACATTCATAGTTTATTAAATGAACATGCCCTCAGACACTGTTTCCTGCAAGATGTTGCGGGAGGGCTTAACAGGTTAATGAAAAAAAAATAGATAAATATACCAATTTTAGTAACGAAGTTTGAGCAGTGTGGGTTTTAAATTCATAGACTAGAGTTACACATATTTCAAAACGCGAAGTGTAATAACTGCAGTTGCCTCCCTGTCAGAATGACAAAGATCCTCAGTGAAGTACAAGCCCATGTTTCTCACTAAATTGTAAGTACAACTTATTCAAAAGATCAGTTCAATGCAACTAATGTCATCTTAGTGTTATTGCATGATATTAAAATTGGTTGGCCATGAATTTAGTTATGGATTGTAAACATTTGAAATGTAGCATTTAAGTGTTTCTCAGTTACAATGTTGTTGTTTTAATAATAAAACTCGTCAGGCACTAGGAAGGATCACTTCTTCTTCAGGGCAGGCTACGTACTACACAGGCAAATGTCCCGCATTGACTGCCTCTCTGGTGGACTCCGGTACTGCACATTACTCCCGAGACGTTTAAAAAAAAAAAAAAAAGTTTTAAGTGAAACAAAAAAATGTTTTTTAAGTGAAACCTCCGAGGCTTTTCAGAAAACATCCGGGGCTTGAGCCCAAGTGGCCACCCCCTAGCGCCGCCACTGATTGTGACACATAATTGGTCATATTATCACGTTATCGGGTTTTGATTTATACATTTTTGATCTGGTGGGACGGACAATAATTAATTTCTCACTACTCAATCAAAAAGACAGAGTTTGGTGGTGAAGTCATTGCAGTCAGCTTATTTTGGTTAGGGTTACCTCTTTGTTCATCATACTATGGGCTCAGAACAGTCTCATAATACACACATGCACACAGAAGGATTCACACTTGTATTTCATGATCCGCAAAAGGATTCACACTTGTATTTCCGGATCCACACTTGTGTTTTTCAATGCACACACAAATGTGTTCCGTTTCATATACATGTAAATACAATTAAAATACAGAAAAAAGTTTTACATAGCCTATGTATTTTTGATCCTCACATATTTGTTTTCCGTTTAAATCCCCTGAACCTGTAAACACAAACCGCTTTCTGTGCACGGATCGCTGTGCATTCTTGTGTGGGTTTTTTGAGACTCCCCTGACGGTCACCCGATTCGTACTTGTAATGTTTTCTATCTATAGCCAATTAGATGTCTCCTCAAGTCTAAGCCAATCACATGAGCGCGCCCCCACGAGGGTAGATTTCTTGCGTTCATGACGTAGCGCTTCATGTAGGCCTACGCATTTTGCGCTGTCCGGAGCTGACAGGTCCATGGAGCCTGCCTGCAGGCGCTAATCTCAGGACACCTCCACTCTCAGTACATGGCCACTTTCCGAACAGGAAATGCACGCAAATACAAGCCTTTATATTATTAAGGTACAGCGCCACTTTCCGAACCATTGATGAATGCTTGTGTACACAAAAACGGCAGGCAAACCCGTTTTAAATGTGTGTTTCCTGTATGGCGAATACAGCTGCTTTATTTATGTCTGTATGAAGTTGTTGTGAGTGTGGAGGGAGCAGCTACAGGTTAGCTTAGCCTAATCGATCAGTGCACTACAAAGCCAGTGGTGAACTGTCAACGGGGGGGGGGAGCCCCGCCGGTCATTATCGGCCGATATTCACTCTTAATAGTTTGATCGGTGCTCCCTATAAAGGCCGATCAGGAGAGCTGGATCTGATCGATTTGGACATAAACGCGAGTGAAGTCTAACCGGACGCGAGAGAGAGATCAGATCAGCTGCTGAGTCTGACGGAGACACGCAGCTCTGCATAATCACCTGATGCTCCGCCCTCTGTTTAGCGAGCTGACCCATGGATGTATAATAAGAACTGGATACAGCGTGGGAGGCGGGGCCTCATTCATTCCTATGAAGAGTTGCTCATTAGCGCATGATGATAAAATGGCCCAACTTTTGAGAGAGTGAAACGTCACAGATTACCCGGCATGCCTGAGAAGTACCCGTATGTGCGCTCATAGAGCATGCGCAACTTTAACCAAAATGCTCGTTCACATCAAGCACGTCAATTTGCGTACACGTAACAGCACCGCGCGTTCATGACAGCATGGTAATGATTTGTTATTATATGGATTTGATATTAACGAGGCGGCAGTTAGCAGCTAGCGGCTAGCTAGTAATTATGCTAATGTACACATCAATCGTTATGTAGCCTACTTATATTACGCTGTAACAGGATCTAGTGATATCCAAGCAACAGAGCTTCATTTAGCATGAAATAATTATTGCACTGTATATATATATATATATATATATATATATATATATATATATATACAGTGCAATAAGCTTCTTAGTGCAATAATAAGCTACAGGGACGTTAATCTAACGTCGGTAATATTAACTTTATTTAATACAACATTTACGGTACAAGATGGTACAAGCCCATGTAGTATAATATTTTACAAATGATGAATTACAGCAAACATGTGC